TCACTTACAATTAATGCAGGATGGTAGAAAATCACTTACAATTAATGCATCAAGTTTGGAGACTTGAATTGAAATTGAAATTGAAATAAGTTTATTGAGGTAAAATACACACAAATGGATGAGGTAGCTCAAGCTATTCTCACCCCGTTCAGTACATCGTGTTAATACATAGACACACACACTTGTACACATTTTAGTGTAACAAGCAAGGCAAATAGTTCTGTCTGATGGGTAGAGGCAACTGCACTTGCAGCTGCACCCGTGTGGCGGTGTAGGAAACCATCAATGTATATGATTTGAGAGAGAGAGAGAATGATCTGTAGACAGAGCATCAATATGGCGTAAGGTATTGGGCTTTGCCTCAAGATGAAGCATAATAAAGAACCCGAATATCAGGAGAAAAAATTACATTAAAAACTGTCCACATGATACATATATATAATCACGTTTTAAACATTTTAATTTTATTATTTGCATATATATATATAATTAGGAAGTAATGTTTATCTGGGTAAGTTGTCAGCTTTTATGAACTAATAGCTAGTGCGGCTTGTATACTGGGTACATCCGGTCTCTTACCCTCGACTGCGGCGGTAACTTTATGGTCAGGAAGCCACAAATATTTACAGTTCAAGTTCAAGTATGTTTATTGAGACAAGAAAAAAATACATCTCAAAGGGATAGAGTAACTTAGGCTATTTCTACCCCCTCTACTTCAAGTCCCTCAAGGGGCGTACAAATTCAGTAAGTACAAATAGACAATTAGCATTACAAGAATCCCATTTAACATTGCAGGTTAATATAGTAAGTACAGCATACAATTGTTACACTCTTGGGGCAAAATTTTTGTAGCTCCTAAGTATACTGTCTATCATACCATTATCACACATACAAACAATTTGATGTGGTACATTACTTATTTCCTTATTTCTATAGTTATCAATAAGTTGACACTCTAATACATAATGTTCTAAGGTGTGGGCGTGCGGCATACTACATAATTTACACTCCTTATCTTTTTCACTGACATCAACTCCGTATTGCCAGATATATTTGTATCCTAATCTTAATCTCATGTAAATTGAATCCTTCCAAGTTGACTTTCCTTTATCATAGGTGAAGGACGAGTTTGTATTTATTACTGAATAATTCTTAAGTGTGTTACTACTATCCACTATTGCCATTCTTTTTATCATTTCTTCATCTTCATTTCCTCTTATTAATGTTATATATACATGTACACATAATCATACATACATGTACATATATATACATATGAGGTAAATCCAGAGAAATGAAATATGGATTTTTCCGCATACAAATGATTATTGTTTCGTGATCGTCAATTGCATATATACATATACATACATATACATTCACATACATATTCAATCACCCACACAAATACACACATCAATAATCTTTGTATCACAAGTGATTCAACAAGAGGCTCACAAGTCACTATACTAGGCACTTTACATCTATGGTGAGTCGTCCAATTACTAGTCTTGCTCTACACCCACCCAACTGGGCGGCAGCTTTACAGTCATGTGCTCCACACCCACCCAACTGGGCGGCAGCTTTACAGTCATGTGCTCCACACCCACCCAACTGGGCGGCAGCTTTACAGTCATGTGCTCCACACCCACCCAACTGGGTGGCAGCTTTACAGTCATGTGCTCCACACCCACCCAACTGGGCGGCAGCTTAACAGTCATGTGCTCCACACCCACCCAACTGGGCGGCAGCTTAACAGTCATGTGCTCCACACCCACCCAACTGGGCGGCAGCTTAACAGTCATGTGCTCCACACCCACCCAACTGGGCGGCAGCTTAACAGTCATGTGCTCCACACCCACCCAACTGGGCGGTAGCTTAACAGTCATGTGCTCCACACCCACCCAACTGGGCGGCAGCTTAACAATCATGTGCTCCACACCCACCCAACTGGGCGGTAGCTTAACAGTCATGTGCTCCACACCCACCCAACTGGGCGGCAGCTTAACAGTCATGTGCTCCACACCCACCCAACTGGGCGGCAGCTTTATAGTCATGTGCTCCACACCCACCCAACTGGGCGGCAGCTTAACAGTCATGTGCTCCACACCCACCCAACTGGGCGGCAGCTTTACAGTCATGTGCTCCACACCCACCCAACTGGGCGGCAGCTTAACAGTTATGTGCTCCACACCCACCCAACTGGGCGGTAGTTTAACAGTCATGTGCTCCACACCCACCCAACTGGGCGGCAGCTTAACAGTCATGTGCTCCACACCCACCCAACTGGGCGGCAGCTTTATAGTCATGTGCTCCACACCCACCCAACTGGGCGGCAGCTTAACAGTCATGTGCTCCACACCCACCCAACTGGGCGGCAGCTTAACAGTCATGTGCTCCACACCCACCCAAATGGGCGGCAGCTTTACAGTCATGTGCTCCACACCCAACCAACTGGGCGGCAGCTTAACAGTCATGTGCTCCACACCCACCCAACTGGGCGACGGCTTTACAATCATTTGCATGAATTACTTACAGTAAGCAAATTTTAGATACTTCGCTAAGATTTCGGGCAGCACATCATTATAAATGAAGTACTTACACTTTTCTTGGACACCAATGATGGTGTTATCTCTGAATTCCGCGATTTTTTTTAAATTCCAGTACTGTATATAATGACGCAAAGTATGCGAATAGTTCTGCAATAGTGATCCTATCCTGCGTCATAATTTACATACATATCTACTTCTGTTTTGTGTATTAAAATTACTACATTTTTATGTTAATTTATTTCTGTAAATGATGATGATGATAAATTTCAATAAATGTAAGTAAGAACATAAGAACGGAAACTGGTCGCGTAAATGGAAATGGTTGGGTACATTTCCTTTCACCTACCTAATGCGAATATTCATGTGTTCGGACACTGGCGATGGTGTGGTATTGCCTATTTATTTGACCATGTCTTTGCTTTCATTTAAGATATGTTTTCCTTGAAATGTATTTACATTATCGTCTACATCTGTCTTTATTCTGAAATAAAAACCTTTGACGTTACTTTGCATATATGTACATTAATTATAAAATTGATTGGCTTGTGTGCAGGCCTTCACACTCCCTGAGCGAGCCATCAAGTAACTATAAAAAGGCATATATCTTCACTTTCACTTCAGTTATATTTATACCAAAGTATTAACATGCAGCTTATATGTCTTTCTGATGACATAAAAAACTTCGTTTTTTACAATATATAGATTCAATTAACATTGATCTTCGGAAGGTCATAGTTCCCATATCGGTAAGGAGAGCGTCGGCCAAGAAGCCTTGTTTAAAATATGAATATTTTTCCTCTCTAATAAGGTATAATCTCTGTGATGCATTAACACAAACTATTTTATATCTGCCTTTCTGATAACATATATAAATATAATCTTTATTTGTGAATATTTGTTAATTAAGCAATATATCAGAGGGCGTGTAGGGTTCGGTGTTCTATGAACGAAAAGGACTGGAGTAGTTTAAATAGCGAACGCATACCAACGAATAACGCTAGTATCTATATAACAAATTTATTGTCATGTGGAATTGATTTAACTTCCAGACACTTTTTTTTAATAAATATTAAATATTTTGTGGCTGTTTATGAAAAATATTATTATAAATACACATTCTACTTGTTAATATTACCAATTAAATTTGCGACAATTTGAGCCATGAAATACGACGACTGGATCACTGTGTACAGGAGGCTGTTATGGCAGCAAACACTCTCCAGGCGACCATATATCTTGGATAAGTCGCTCCACACAATTGTCGCTTGGACCGTCGACTTCCTATGGCGTCACCTCTCACATATTTACGTCTCATTTCGTTATGAAATTAGATTATTTCAGAGTAAAAATAGGTTTGATCATGTTCTACGTGTAGCACCAACATTATAGTAAGTAAATATACCATATTTCTTCATTACTTACGTAATGCTAATACGATTTGGGTAGTTTTGGCCTGATTTGGGTCGATTTGGGTAATTCTATGGACCCGGATTCCCACATTTTGCCCGAAACGCTCCCCGGATATGAACTCAGGCAAAAGCATTCTGAAGAAGCCTGGGCGAGTGCTTTACCACTGCGCCACGAGAACTGAACTCCAGAGGAATGCAGTCCTCTCCTCTCCACTCCAGAGCAGTGCAATTTGGAGGACAACATCCTCCAAATAGTTCAGTATTTTAAAAATCTGGACGAAATCGGCCCTGTCATGCTTGGTTTGCAGTGTTGTTTGTCCTGTGGCCCTCAACCGTTCCTGGTATGAGAGTTGACTTAGTTCTGGAGTGATTATTGTCGCTAAGGGTTGAACTGTCTCAAAAGCAGATATTAGTATTACAGTTCAGAGTTTTATAGATATAGAGCAGACTTGAGAGTGAGGGCACGGACTTGATATTTAACATATGCAATGATAAGTGTGCTGAGTGCTGTCTGGGATTGTTCTAATTGTTGCTTTCTGTTAAGTGATGATGGGTCGTAGCCTCCTATTAAGTCTTTTTTGCATTGTGTACCTATGAAAGCTCCACTGTATCGTGTTTCAAATATTTTTTATATAAATACAAATTATTATTATTATTATTATTATTATTATTATTATTAGTTTTATTATTATCACCATTATCATCATCATCACCATTATTATTATTATCATCATTTCATCACTACCATCAAAATCACAATCATCACCACCATCACTACAATCACCATCACCACCACCATCACTACCACCATCACTACCACCACCATCATCACCACCACCACCACCACCACCACCCACCCCCACCCCCACCACCATCACCATCACCACCACCACCATCACCATCACCATCACCTTCACCACCACCACCCCCACCCCCACCACCATCACCACCACCCTCACCACCACCACCACCCCCACTACCATCACCACCATCACCATCACCATCATCACCATAAGGTATGAGCCCGCTGCCTCTGTGTACACGGGTCCGGAACACAACCGCCCGCCCTCCCAGTACTCAAGGTACACAATGCTCCCTCGCCCACTATTACCTCCTAACTACCACTTTACACACCATGCCAAGCCTCGAGCATACTTGCGCTACACTCTATCACACTCCAAGAGTATTTCGTGAAAATACTGCACTTAATTACCTTAATTTTAACAATATGCCTTCTACAGAGTATATTTTCTGGGGTGTGGGTATATCTTTAGTATACTAGTATTTGGTGGGGGAGTATATTTGATTATACTCGATATTTTCCACAGACAGGAAGCCTGTGGAGACTATGGAGGTTTTCCTATGTCAATGGTGAGTTTAGCCATGTGGTCACCGATCTAATTCCTGGCCAGACCCAGTTTACTTAACCTCACTGAACGAGTGAGGTGCTCATCATCCACTGTCGCGCCAATGATTACTGACAAATTTTCATGCAAGAATACTTGTATTCTTCAAGAACATTCATATTTTATAAATAAATAAATAAATCCTTCAAGAACACTCATATCCTCCAAGAACACTCATATCCTTCAAGAACACTCATATCCTCCAAGAACACTCATATCCTTCAAGAACACTCACATCCTTCAAGAACACTCATATCCTTCAAGAACACTCACATCCTTCAAGAACACTCATATCCTTCAACAACACACATCCTTCAAGAACACTCATATCCTTCAAGAACACTCACATCCTTCAAGAACACTCATATCCTTCAAGAACACTCACATCCTTCAAGAACACTCATATCCTTCAAGAACACTCACATCCTTTAAGAACACTCATATCCTTCAAGAACACTCACATCCTTCAAGAACTGTCACATCCTTCAAGAACACTCATATCCTTCAAGAACACTCATATCCTCCTAGAACACTCAAATTCTTCAAGAACTCTCAAATCCTTCAAGAACACTCATATCCTTCAAGAGTTAATAGGAACTAAGGACATGGAAGCACTAAGGGAAAATTTTCCATATCCTTCATCGGAGCTTAAAATTCTGAACAATTTGGAGGATGTTGATCCGGACAACTTCTTCAAAAGGTCAGATTTAACACAAACAATGAGCAACGGTGTCAAGCTCAACAAGCCACAATGTAGGACTGAGAACAGGAGATGCCTTTTCACCCAAAGGGTTATAAACCCATGGAACTAGCTACCCACTGAAGCCATAAATGCCAAAACTATATTAACTTTTAAAATCCAGCTGGGAAAAAATCATCAGGGCAAATGGGTGGACCTTTGAGAAGCCGCTGGCTTCCTGTCGTTGCCGAGGCTATTAGAGTATTAGTGGCCCTTGGGTAAATTCAGGTAAAATCACCTAGCAAAAATAATTTATCAGAACTACAGAATACAAAATTCTGACTGTATACAGGCCTTCTTTTCTAATCCCTAATCATTCTAACCATGCACACATTCAATACATTATCTTCTTCCATTTACATTAACAAAGCCTTATACGATAATACTAACTCTGAATTGAAGGTCTTCATTGATGGATATAAAAGAACTCATGAAGATCACATTGCAATAATTGTTTGAGACATTCTCAGAGTCTGTCTACATCTATGTAAGCTTGCCATGCTAATTAAGGAAACCAATACAGTATATCGAACTTCCTTCTTGATGAAGTAAAGAGGTGCTCAACCTACAATTTAATTGAGTAAGAATGTCTTTCTCAGTACAGTAACAATTTGCAATCAAATCTCAAACTATATCTTACTTTTTCTGGGTACTGTATTCTGATCCGTATCATGACTGAAGCTGTGAATAAGACTTATTTACAGAAATTCACCCTTTTTTATAATGGAGATTATTATTTTATCTACTTTATTTGTATATAATAGAAACAAAAGTTTTTGAGGAACTAAAAAATTAAGTGTTCAGTAATGCTAAAAATAAAATTCATGAATGCTAAAAGTTTTAATTCTTTTCTTTTTTCCTTAGTTCAAGGAATCCGACATTGGTAAAAGGTTAAAATGCCACCCAGGAAACAAGTCGAGACACTGGAACACATGTGTTTCATGGTCATGGCTGGAACACTCCATCAACTTGCAGTAAGTCACCACAAAAGGTTTTTGCACACATCTTTACACAGCATCTCTTATACAACAATTTGCAGTCTCCGTGGTGTAGTGGTAAGACACTTGCCTGGCGTTCTGCGAGCGCTATGTCATGGGTTCGTATCCTGGCCAGGGAGGATTTACTGGGCGCAAATCCTTAACTGTAGCCTCTATTTAACGCAACAGTAAAATGTGTACTTGGATGAAAAAACGATTCTTCGCGGCGGGGATCGTATTCCAGGGACCTGCCCGAAACGCTACGCGTACTAGTGACTGTACAAGAATGTAACAACTCTTGTATATATCTCAAAAAAAAAAAAAAAAAATTGAGTGTCTTATATAATCTTCCGTTTAAAATTCTCTTAGCTACTTTCATGGGATGCTCTTACTCTGTGGCTGTATCTGAGTCTGGTATGAGAAACGTATAAAACCCTGAAATGGACTGTGATGAAGTACCATTTTGATCATTTAAATCCATACTGATGTACATATCTGTACTTTATTATAAATACAGTATATATACAGTATAAATAAAAAATAATCATGATGTCCATTTTTGTACCAAAAATAATCAAAATAAAGATACAACATGTGGATACAACATCTATGAATATGATATAAATGCATCTATATGTTTGGAACCTACAAGAGATAGCATCCAACCTTCATGTCCTGACACTCTTGGGGTAATATAATGTTTGTAATATTATCTGCTTTCTACAACCCTTGTAATATTGTCATAAAGTCTCAAAAGTAAGATCTTTATATTAATCCACTATTGACTCAAGAATGAGCACTAATGCCCCATTGTCGTGTCTATGCATCCAGTAATAAGTTATTTTTGCCAACAAGTTTGTGATTATAATTTAGGTTTATGTAGTAAGTTATCATTACATTAATCACTGTTAATCACCAAAGAGAAGATTGTGAATACTTACTAAATACTAATACAGTAATCCAGTATTAAATAAAATTATAAATGCAGCTTCTTAATGATTTGTAAAAAAAAGTCAATGCTATACTGTATATACTTTTTATTATTTTGATATTTAATTAGGTGGGGTTGGGGGGTGGGGGGGGATTTAGTGTTTTAAGTGCTGCACAGTTTCAAGATTGTGAAGTATTTACTGTTGTATAACAACTGGGATTGTTTACTGTTGTATAACAACTGGGATTGTTTACTGTTGTATAACAACTGGGATTGGTTTTCTCTTAGGTTGAATTAGAAGAAGTTCCAGAAAGTTGCCAAGTGTCTGCAGAAGAATTATCATCAATTGTAGCAGCACTCCCTTCTGTCATCAATGAGAATATGATTACAAAAGTCATTGAAACAATTTATCAAACAGTGACTAGGACTCGAAGAACTATTGGAATGCGGACTTGTCTTGAAGTTTTACTGCAGCCACATGTACAGAGATTAGATCTGAGTGGATTGTTTTTCAAAATGAGGCTCCCGGGAGCAATTAATATGACGATACGACATGTTGTCCTTGAGAGTGTGGGAAACATGAAAAATCTGATGATACTTAATATGGTCAGCAAGTGTAGCGATGAAATCCTATTTATCATCAGCAAAATGTGTCCAAATATTATTGAGGTGATTGTATCGATCTCAGATCTTGTTACTGACAAGGGGTTAAAAGCATTAGCCTTAGGATGTCCAAAGATTGAAAAATTGGGCATCTCAAAATGCTGGGAAGTAACAACAGATGGCATTGCTTATGTTCTACAGTATGGAAAAAATTTACAAAAAGTGCAGTGTGACCAACTTGGAGCTGTCATTATCAGCAGATTTAAAGAATCTGATGCCACATTTAAGTTAACACATTTCGAACAAACTCAGGTAAGTGCCTCACTAAAAAGGAGATTGGCATTTACAAATTTTGTTGCCAATTACTTTCTATTACTAGACAGCTTTCTACATGCCTCCACATTTATATAGTTGAGTTTCAATCTGTCCTTTTGCTGTCAGTTATCTTATCCATGCAAATTTATCTTCAACTTTTCATCCTGTTTGCATCTAGTTTCTTTGTATGTTTAAGCCACCCAATGACATCTTTTTGAAAAAAGCAAAACACAACATGTAAATAGTCATTTTTATTTTGTTGTTATTCCTGACTTCGTTCTTTCAATACATTCTTCCTTGTATTGTGAAAAATTACTAATCTCTGTGTGGTGACTTACGGCGTTCATATAGTACATTATATATACTGTATGTTCACTTCACATGTATGTAGTTAACTGATCAAGTGACCATCGATTCTTCAGTCTATGTTCACTTGGGCTGAATGGTAGAGCGACGGACTCACTTCACGCAGGTCGGCGTTCGATCCTCGACCGTCCAAGTGGTTGGGCACCATTCCTTTCCCCCATCCCATCCTAAATCCGAATCGTGACTCCTTCCAAGTGCTATATAGTCGTGATCCCCTGGCACTTTCCCCTTGATAATTTCCTTCCCTTCAGTCTATGTTTTTAGTTGAGTACTGATGATGTATAGCTGTTCTTGTGTTTATACCAATCCATACACTGTTCTTAGAATGTATGTGGTGCAGCTGCACAATAGGATCTGTTCATCTGTTCATCTGTTTCCTCACCTTGCGCATGTTAATGGTTCATTCTGTGTACCCCAGATTATGTCTTGGTTGAGTGAGTGACTTATTAGTCACAGGTATGTCTTCCTATTTCTTGACATCAGGGTGGACAGGGTTAAGTTACTGGCAGCTGAATAACCTTGCTTTGACTGCCAGATTGTTTTGAACCTTTATTTTGCATCCATATTGTTAGGTTTCATGGCATAGCATTAAGATATTTGGTAAGATGTATGCAAGGATATTGGCATGCAGATTGAAATACATACTTTTACTTTATTGTTCTTTACGGTACAGACATGAAATACAGTACTGTACACATACAAACTGAAGGCATTTCATGTTATATATTTTTACATGAAAACATAAGTATAAAATACTTTATGCATATTTCCAGCTAAATTAACCTAAACTAATCCTAAAATTTTGAATAAGAACTTAGCAAACTTAGTTTAGACTCGATATGCTGAAGCTTTACTGGTTGAAAATCTTTGGCCTTCAGATCTTGCCAAATGTGTGTTTATTTTGACTCATCTCATTTTTTTATTGGCCTCCTACATGGTCAGTTATTTGCCCCCTCCCATGTATAGTATTAATATAAACTTCTAAAATCCAGATTTTCACCGTTGGAAGAATAATTTAAAAATGATCAATACCTGCCATATTACATCCATGCAAATTAGTTTTAAAAAGATCTTTGAAGCATCAGTTTGTGAATGTCGTCCTGCCTGACCATTTATGAAGCCTATGCATAATGTGGCAATCATACCTCAGGGAGCAATCGATTGGATACACTTAGAAAATTTGGCACGATGGATGTGAAGAATTAAGAATGTGAGGCGATCTCCTGTATAGTTATATTGAGAAAACAGAATGTGTAGAGAACTATTGATGATGTTATACAGTTTTTATAAAAGCATCTTTTTAGGGCCGGCTAGATGCCTCGCACTAGATACTGTAATGGATTCTGACACAGAATGCTAAATCTTTTTCATTGTATGATGTATCAATTTATACCACAGACCATATTTGAGCCACAAGAAGAAGAAATTGCTTGGGTAGGGTGTGCTTGCCCATGTATAGAATCTGCGAGTCTGTTTGTTGATGATGAGAGTTTGGCGCTGGTCCCACAGCTGGGTGATATCAGGTAAGATAATAATTCCTCTGGATATAATACCAAGTATTAAACTTATTTATAATACTTGGCTTGTCTGTTATTCCAAGTACTAAACATCTAATTAATGTTCCAGGTAGTAAACAGTCAATGGATGTTCCAAGTAGTAAACATTCACTGGATTATTTAAACTTTGAACAATTCAAGATTTGTGGAAGATTTGCATAATATAATTGCATGATTTCTATCAAGCCTCAGAGTTTAACACATTCTCAGTTTCATGAACTCACATCAATCGTTACAAACTATTAAAATAAATCCATTTAACTTGACACATTCATGTTTTGGTATTGAAAGCATTATAAGGATTTACTTTGTTGATAACGTGGACATTATGTACTAATATATATATATATTGATACCCTTTGTATTCTCAGCTATTTATTCTGCTTGTGTTAGCGTTAATCTTGCATAAATTACAGCAAACTGTTATTCTTAACTAACTAGACTGGTCAGTACAGCAAAGGCCTTGTATCTTACAGTCAGTATTCAAGTTCCATTGGTCCAAGTGGTTGGGCATGGCTCCTTCATCCCATCCTCATATCCTGGTTCCTAGTCCTCATATCATGGCTCCTTCTCTTCATATCCCACCTCCTGGTCCTTATATTCCAGCTCCTAGTTCTCCAATCTCAGTTCCTTGTCTTCATATCCCAATACCTTGTCCTCATATCCCAATACCTTGTCCTCATATCCCAATACCTTGTCCTCATATCCCAATACCTTGTCCTCATATCCCAATACCTTGTCCTCATATCCCAGTTCCTTGTCATATTTCATCTACTTGTCCTCATAACCCAGCTCCTTGTTGTCATATCCCAGCACCTTATCCTCATATCCTCATTGTTATCATATCCATCCCAAGTACTGTACTCTATAATGATACTGGTTTAACACTTTCTCCTCATAATTACCGTATCTTAACCAACTAAGTTATTATTTCATGAGAAGCTTTAGTTGGTACTCTTTTCTATAGATGTTTCTCTACTGAGCCTGGTGTTTTAATGCCCATTATGTATAGATGAAGTGTTAAACAAGCACTCTTTCATGTAGATTTAAAAAATATATGTTATACTGTATTACTGTACTGTATATAGTATGGACCTGATTTACCTGAGGGGGCCACTAACACTAGTAGCCTTGATGTGGACAGGAAGCTGGTGACTTGTTGAAGGTCCCCCCCCCCCCCATTTACCTTGATGATCCTCTTTGGGTGGATTTTAAAACCAAAATTATATTACTATACTCAATATAGTACAGACCTGTATTACTATACTGTTTATAATACGGACCTGTATTACTATACTGTATATACTGTAGTATGGACCTATATTATTATACTGTATATAGTATAGACCTATATTACTATACTGTATACAATTGGGACCTGTATTATTATTATGCTGTAGTATGGATCTGTATTCCTATACTGTATATAGTATAGACCTGTATTCCTATACTGTATATAGTATGGACCTGTATTACTATACTGTATATAGTACAGACCTGTATTACTATACTCATTATTGCAGTATTCTTATTTTTCTAAAGTTGGCAAAAAAAATTGATGTAGTACAAAAATATGCTAATGAGCAATTTTACTTTAGTAAGTTAACAAATTACATATACTGTACTGTATTTCAATTTTTCAGAGTACTGGAAATAGAAACATCATCTGTATTGGGTAATGGCTTTGTTAAAGCAATAACAAATCTTGGTGAATCACTGCTAACTCTGCAGCTAAATTGTGAGTACAGTAATTGTATTATCAACAAAGTTAGCAGTACCATATTTTCCGGCGAACAGGATGCACATTCTTCAAAGTTTAAGCTTGAATGTTTTGGCTTGCATGGAAGAACATGGTAATAAAGTACCTGCACTTTAAAATCACTTTCAATAAATATATAACAAAGCAAATTAAAACTGTTTATTTCCACAAAATATCCTTGTAAAATAGGAGTGCGTGATATATGTCGGCAAATACGGTACTGTATTTTGTACACAGTTTTAGAACTGAACACTGAGCTTTAGTCCCCAGTAAATGAATTTCTCAGGCTCAGTTCAGAGGCCTTCTTTTGTAAAATATTCATCACAACATTGTGCCGCTTCATTCTTTTATGGGTCAGTTTATACAAAGGGACAATTTGCTCCAATTGGTCTCTTTATAATTTATGCCTCTAATTTGGTGAGATGTATAGACACTATAGATATACCTTATCAATATTTTTTAAGCTTATATGCGTCTAAAATTTTGAGTCATTGTGACCAATACTATATCTTACAGCATTTGCATAAAAAGTATTAAGACATAGGTGTAAGTTGAAGGAAGTTTAATGGAAGCATAAGCGTATATTTAATACAAGGAAATATTAGGGCCATATGATGGGATAGAACAGGCATTCCTGGACTTCCCAGATGCGATCCCGTCACACAGCTTCTATGTTTTCTATGAGATACATCACACCATGTTTTCATTTCATTTCAATATATTTCAGGTGATGAGGTGAGTCAAGAAAAAATTATCCTCCTTGGTGAGTGTTGCCCTCTCCTGACAACCCTTCACATAACGACAGCCACGGTGGAAGGAGACGAGCTCCTCTTTAATCCAGGCCAACTGTTTTCATCTCTCACGGCACTGCACCTCCAAGTCTGGAAAGAAACTGTTATAAGTAGTTAGTGCACTTGGGTTTTTGTTTTAGTGTCTGGTGCATAGAACAGTTTTTGTGTTGTGTTTAGTGTCTAAAGCCTGCCGGCATTATTGGACTTTGTTGGAGTTATTGGACATGCAGCAAGGGCTGCTGACACAGAGGTTAAGAGGAACATCACGTTTGGAAACACTTTTGATCTTGCAAAGTAAAGTGAGATTTTGTTGAAATATGTAATAAAAACATGTTTTTTCAAGTAATTTTACATTAACAGTATTTTGAATATTTTTTATTGATTGTATAAAAAAAAAGTAAAAAATTATGCTCCTAAGGTGGCGCTCACTGGCATGTTCCCATCCATCCATAATTTAGATGTTTGGCTGGGTTTCCAGGTGGAATGTACAGCTTACGACTTTCAGGTTCCATTCAAACAGAGCCTGGCACCCAGGATATTCACCAGATTGACTTTGGTGTTTCCCTAGAGCTTTGGCTTCAAGGGATCATGGTTCTGGCCATCCTCAAAGGCTGGTTGCATTGGCAACCAGTCGCTGTGCTTATCTGCTAGCCAGGGATTTGGTTCTGCATGTTCTGCACTACTTTTAATTTCTTGCTAACCTTCACAAATGCCAGTTGATTATGGTACAGTCTTTCCTTTAGTTGGAGCTGGTCTGGAATAGACTAGGATGGACTCTATTTTTCTCTGATGCAACTGCATGGTTATCTTAGTGCTTGATAGGTGATGGCTTTTCCGTCAGGATCTCAAATACCTGTTTGGGCATCTCAGCTTTGCCAGTTTGGTTTTCCACTTTCCTTGCCTTTCCTTGTTGGGTGGCAGAGAGTTGAGAGGAGGGGGTTGATATAGTCTAGTGGGGCTTTGCCTGTTCATCGGTTCTCGTTCAGCTGGGTTCTGCATGTTTGTGCATGTTTCTGCATGTGGCTTTGCTGTCTTCCTCCTGCACTTTCCCGGGTTCCTGGGGTCTTCATTGGTGTTGGACAATGGCGTGTGAGTTGGCTTGTTGGACTTTTTTGTTTTGTTCTGTTGGCATTTGGCATTGACTCTTTATCAGCATTGTTTTGCACCTTGGTTTTCTTCCATTTTCTCATTTTTGTTACCTGTTAGCTCCGTGTCTCTTTATGACTGCTTTATGTCCTTGGAGGCTTCCTGGACTCTTCCTACCCTTTTTCCGGGCTGTAAATATCCTGCAGGAACACGAAAATCAGCCAAGATTGGCTGTGTTCCACACGACAAACCAAGTAAATGGTAGCTATATGGATACAGATGTGTTTGTTCAACCAAGATAAGTGAAAGAAAAATCAGCATTTGGTTCCCAGTGAATAATTTCATATTTCTTCACATTGAACATGAACTGCTTATACAGTACAGTATGTACCTACTGTATAAGAGTAAGATTTCTGTTGAAACTGACAGTACAATATTGCATTCTGGTGAAAAATTTGAATAAGATTATTTGGTTTTCCAGAGTTTTTCATGTTAATTTAAATTTTAGTGCTTTTGTATGCTCCTAGATTTGCTTCCTATTAAAATTAGGCAGTGTAGAAAAAACCATTTACTGTTCTCAGAACCAATTTGTTGATTTTGCATTGTTTCCATGCAGTTATTGTGCCTCTTAAATAGACCTGAAGTATACAGTACTCTTATATATGTTCATAAATGGAAAAGAGAGAGGAATTGGATTTCATTGTATAAACATTATTTTTCATCAAATTGTTTGCTTCATAAAATATTTTGCAATAGGAAACTGGAGTTACCATGATCACCTTAATGTGATCTAACCACATCTAGTTTTACAATGTATACAGAAGCCTTCATAAATACCAAAACATGCTAATGATTTGGTATCACTTACAGATGAATGTGTAGAATTTTTCCTCATGTGGTGTCGCAAGCTGGAATCAGTGGTACTTAAGGCTGAAGTGGAGTTCTTCACAGACCAATACCTAAAACGAATCCTTGCTGCCAATCCTCTCACAGACGCCAAACGTATCATCTTTGCATCAGACAAACATGCAAGTTGTATAAATTTTACATTTGTTTACATTCACTATTAGTAATCTTTTTCTTTCAAGCTCAATGAAACTTTACACTCAAGTCTTTCAGCAACACCAGTCCGTTGTGAACACTGCTGGATAACATAGCACAGTTCCATATTTGCTGGCAAATACCACTTATTTTTTTGGTCCACTACCGACCAAATTTATATTGTATTTACATTCACAAAATTATGTATTGTCCCCAACAAATCCACTTTAACATCATTTTCAATAAATGTTTGATGAAATATAAAAAACAACTTTATTTCCACAAATTTTTTTGTGTATATATAAGGTGGCTCTGGCAGAGCATCTCCTTCTGAGGCTCAATCTCAATGTCTCCTTTATTCCTTTTTTCAGCTGGGAAATGCACTCAATCACGTGAGGGAGCTTGCTTCATGCTCTTCTTTGTTGTTGGGTCTTTGTTATCTTTGGTGTTGGTGACATTTTTGTTTCCCTCTGTTCAGATCTCTGTTCATTCTTGCTAAAGATGTGACTTCCTTTCTATTAGCAGAACTCTATCCTGATCACTGCTTGTTTTGTGAAGTGATCGGTGCATCATTTCCAATTTTCTGTGTTCTAATTTTGCTTTTTACCAGTAATCTTTGAGTATAGCACTCACAGTTTTATGCCTAGTTCCTGAACCCTCATACTATTGTTCCTGGTTCACAGGCTTGCTTATCTTAGTTAATCCACAAGGTTGTGAAGCTCAGTCAACCAAAGACTTATCCCTTTGCCTATGACCTACGAAGTTTGTCATTCTCAATGTGTTTTACTGTGCTATAACACCTGTACCGACAATTGTGTCCAAGGATTTGGAAGGGTTAATGTCACAAAGCTGTCTCACTATTTGTCTCGATTATCTCATCCATGTATGATGTTGGGCTCTCTGTATTTCTCTCTCTCTCTCTTTCTCTCTCCTCCTGTTAATCTAAACTTTGGCAAGAGGTTCTGGACCTGGAAGTCTGTTGCTCTGGGGATGCAGTGCTCCTCTTTTCCTATGATTTCTTCAGGCTGTGCCCTATGACATGGATAGACTAGGTTCCCATACATTTACCACTTTTCATTTCAGTTCATGGGGATTTTGCTTACAGAAGTGACCAATTGGTTTAGCTCTAAAAAATAAAATTTTGCTTGTAGATTAAAAGCTGCTTTATGAGCAAGATACTTGGTCATTCCTGTACCCTCTCATATGTAGAGGCTTTCCACATGCTTTCTTCTAAGAGAGTGTTGGCATTAAAGTGATGTTGGAACCCTAGACACCCTCTGTTTAGGCAGTCTGTGCTGTCATCTGTTGCCAGATAGAGGTAGTGACCAGGCAGTTAATAAGCAGTTCATAAAAATATCAGAACAATATTTTTAATTAAAGTTGTGGTTGGAAGAGGTAATGCAGGTTGAGAACAATGCACCTTCTGAGGGTCATTCAGAGTTGGACTGAGAATTCTCTATTGTTTTCCATGCCCCAATAATGATTTGACAGGGAGCAGGACACTTGAGTAAAGAAGCAACAATATGACTTCCTAAGAAAGAAATGTTTCATTTACTCTGTCATATTTTTTTATGTAAATTATAATTTTATTCTCTTGTTTGCAGGTGCCACTTACGTTGGATAGTGTATATAGATTATTGGCTTCCTGTCCCTCTCTTGAGAATCTTGGAGTATCATCTTGGGATGTCAGCGAAGAAGAGTTCTTCAAAATTCGTGATGATGTTAAGAAAAATAATTACAATCTTACAATCTCATAAATAATTGTCACACACATACATGCATATATATATGCAAAACCCACACTCACACTACTCCTACGTGCGCACACGTACACACACACAGGCGGGATCCAAGAGTCAATGCTCGATCCTGCAGACACAACTAGGTGAGTACACACACACACACACACACACACACACGCCACAATTATAGACCTGTATCATTGACAAGTGTAATAGTGAAAGTATTGGAAAAACTAATCAAAACTAAATGGGTAGAACACCTAGAGAGAAATGATATAATATCAGACAGACAGTATGGTTTTCGATCTGGAAGATCCTGTGTATCGAATTTACTCAGTTTCTATGATCGAGCCACAGAGATATTACAGGAAAGAGATGGTTGGGTTGACTGCATCTATCTGGACCTAAAAAATGCTTTCAACGGAGTTCCACATAAGAGGTTGTTCTGGAAACTGGAAAATATTGGAGGGGTGACAGGTAAGCTTCTATCATGGATGAAAAATTTTCTGACTGATAGAAAAATGAGGGCAGTAATCAGAGACAATGTATCGGAATGGAGAAATGTCACAAGTGGAGTACCACAGGGTTCAGTTCTTGCACCAGTGATGTTTATTGTGTACATAAATGATCTACCAGTTGGTATACAGAATTATATGAACATGTTTGCTGATGATGCTAAGATAATAGGAAGGATAAGAAATTTAGATGATTGTCATGCCCTTCAAGAAGACCTGGACAAAATAAGTAGATGGAGCACCACTTGGCAAATGGAATTTAATGTTAATAAATGTCATGTTATGGAATGTGGAATAGGAGAACATAGACCCCACACAACCTATATATTATGTGAGAAATCTTTAAAGAATTCTGATAAAGAAAGAGATCTAGGGGTGGTTCTAGATAGAAAACTATCACCTGAGGACCACATAAAGAATATTGTGCAAGGAGCCTATGCTATGCTTTCTAACTTCAGAATTGCATTTAAATACATGGATGGCGATATACTAAAGAAATTGTTCATGACTTTTGTTAGGCCAAAGCTAGAATATGCAGCTGTTGTGTGGTGCCCATATCTTAAGAAGCACATCAACAAACTGGAAAAGGTGCAAAGACATGCTACTAAGTGGCTCCCAGAACTGAAGGGCAAGAGCTACGAGGAGAGGTTAGAAGCATTAAATATGCCAAAACTAGAAGACAGAAGAAAAAGAGGTGATATGATCACTACGTACAAAATAGTAACAGGAATTGATAAAATCGACAGGGAAGACTTCCCGAGACCTGGAACTTCAAGAACAAGAGGTCATAGATTTAAACTAGCTAAACACAGATGCCGAAGAAATATAAGAAAATTCACCTTCGCAAATAGAGTGGTAGACGGTTGGAACAAGTTAAGTGAGAAGGTGGTGGAGGCCAAGACTGTCAGTAGTTTCAAAGCGTTATATGACAAAGAGTGCTGGGAAGACGGGACACCACGAGCGTAGCTCTCATCCTGTAATTACACTTAGGTAATTACACACACTCACACTCACACTCACACTACAATACAAGAACAATATATGGACTAAGGAGGAGCTCAATGACAAAAGAGAGGGCCCTTGTAATGATCATGAGAGAAATTATTGTAAAAGCAGATAAAGATAAATCATGATTAACCCTTGAATGGCGCCTGGCTATTTAGCATGTGTCACTCGCAGGCGCATACCAAAAAAAAAAAAAAAATTCTTCTAAACCTGTTAACTTGTGTTCACTGATCATGGGAAAAATAATAAAAAAAATCATAAGTGGCATATATTGCCCGCTATAGGGCAGGGAAGTCTGGCAAAAAACAGGCACTGATTCAGCGTGCGTCCCAGGCAGTCTGTTGCTCGCCAGCTGTCAGGCCAGAGTTGCCACAAAGAGATAATTACCTAATTATTTCAATGTCTCTGATTGATTTTTCGTAGTTTTTTTGCTGTAATATTATTCAATAGTGTGTAGTGTGATATATTTATATAATAAAATGAGTGAATCATCCCTGTACTTAAAAATATGGTGTGCATATTGTTGATTCAATTATGTTCATCAAACAGTGAACAAATACTTTGTCGGTTATTACACAATATACACAGGTTATATATAAGTATCTGCATGTTTTGTTCACCATAACGAACCACTAAGTTGCTATTATGAGTCAAGAAGTAACGAGAAGTGACCGCCACACACCAGCCAGCCACTCACTCCCTCCCTCAACACCTCACTCGCTCACATTCTCCTCCCACCATACTGTTTTTGCTTTTATATACAGACGTTATATATAAGTATTTACATGTTTTGTTCACCATAACTGTACATCTAAGCTTGTATGGTGAGTAAAGGCACAAAGACGTAGCTACTCACACAGTCAGCTGGTGGCTGCCGCCCTTAAGGCCAGGCACATTAATATTTCTCCTCCAACAATACTCTTTGTGGTGTTATTATGCTATATACACACATTATATAAAAGTATCTACCTGTTTTATTCACCATACTTGTACAAGTAAACTGGTATGGTGCCCAAAGACCATCGTGGTCACCAGTAAACAACATGATAAGTCGTGCAGATGATGCCACCGCCTTCACCAAAATGGCAGCTCCCAACCTACTCCTCTTGCTGTTTATACCCTCTATACACACATTATATATAAGTATCTACATTTGTGTTTACCATAGCGAACCACTAAGCTGGTATGGTGAGTGCAGTCAATAAAATGTGGCCACACACAGTCAGAAGGCAACGCAACTACCCTCCCTCCCACAGTATTACTCCTCCCTCCATGGAGCACAACGCTAAATATCACCACAATCCTGCTATTATCAGAACCCTGGTCAGTTTTGTCACAGTCAGGGGTCTTCTGTAATAATATCATCGCTACATAATAGCATGAACAAGTATATTATGGCATTTTTAGGCGATGCTGTGGTCACAAGCTGAACAGCAGTGCTGTGAGCTCATGCTGCGTGCGTCAGGCTTGGTAGCTCACTCAATACTGAGGCCCCTAACATCCAGGAATTTGGCCCACGATTTTTTTTTTAAATGGCGTCTGTTTACAAGAGCCCTGATGAAGGTGTGGTGAACCCCGTGTATCCGCGGGCCGTTTAAATCTTGTGTAGTACTCCAAAGCATCATATGACGTGATGTGCAATTTAAGGGTTAAAATCGATAGACTGGGAAGACTATGAAGCAAGAACAGAGTACTTTTGGACTGGTCAATTCGTAAACCTCATCCTGGACTCATGTATCAACTTGTAAAACAGCCCACACGAATGAAAGAAGATGATGCGCCATCATTGCTGAATTTGGTACTTACCAGGAAAGAAGAGATATTTGACATTCATTACCTTTCTCCCTTGGGAAAGACTGACCATGTGCTGTTGGAAATTAGATATGCTTTACAATATAATCTAGAAGAGAATGCAAAATGGAAATACAGTAGTTGACAAACTTGATTTTAAGAGAGGACACTATGGGGAGCTTAGCAAATTCTTTAACAAATTTTATTAGAAAGACTTGTTGCTAGGCAAGGAAATAAATGAGATGTATGCCAAATTCTGTTACCTATACAGTACAATGAAGATAGACAAAAATATATACCAAGACAGATGCAGAACCAGAAACAGGATTAGTTCAACAGAAATTGTCAGTAGTTTCAAAGCGTTACATGACAATGTACAACAGTACTGGGAAGACAGGATACCATGAGCATAGCTCTCATCCTGTAGCTACATTTAGGTAGTAATTACACACACAAACATACATTCCCTAGTATAAGATAAGGGGCAAGTTGATTTTTGTTACCATTTAGTGGCCAGAATTTTTGTTTTGAAGAAAGAATTTTCTGCAGTTGTAGGTTTTTTCTTGTTTTTGTAAGTTATCTCTTAGAATAGTCCAATAGAAGCATTATAAGCTTTGTACAGTTTTCACATACCTTGGAGTTATGTCATACAGTATTAGCAGTTTTCAGCATTATAATCACTAGATACAGGTTTCAAAGCTATTTATATTTTATCTGCTTTAATGGAGTAGCATTTTAGTCAATATATAAAAAATACTATAAAAATTATTCCAAAAGTTGTGAATACATGTGTTCATAGTCTTGTTTTGTATTGTATATATTTTCTGACTGGCAGCCAGCCTTATAGTTACCATTTTCTGTGGGGAGCCCCTTTGACTCCCTGAACCTATCATACACTGAACAGTGCCACCCTACAAGGTGCAATCAGTCACGGAGTTCTGTTAACCTACCAGGGACCTTGACCCAGAACCTGGCTGGCCTCCTCAGAAAGGTGCAGAGAGCGATGTTCTATGATCACTTTACATTTAAAGTTAATTATAATTGCCACCGCCTGAGGAAGGTACCCCAGAAAGTTAGGCAAAACTGAACAGACTACTGCATGGTTAAAACAAGATTACCTCAAAAATCTCTTTCTCTGCCCAGTTCATGTGTGGGGTTGTCCAATGTTTGTACAAATGGTTTATCTCACTTCTGTCTCATTTCCATGGAGTGGACCATCAACAATGCTTACTTTGGCTATGTAAGATGTTCAGTCACCCCAAGATGGACCTCTTCGTGCCAGCATGGAGCTGATGACTTCCCTCCTACTGTATCTCTGTACAGTACTTTGATCACAAGGGTTTCACTGTGTATACCTTTAGCTGGACTGGTTGAGGTAGGGGTTTCATCTCTCTGATCCTTCCGGTTCAGTTGTTGCTCTGGATGTTGTCCACATTAGAGACATACTGTACTTGGGTAGGGTGATCCTTATTGCTCCTAGGTTTCTGGCTCTGGCCTGTGTCTGAACCTAGGCATTTTTCCATAGTTCTACCTCTTTCAATTGGTCGGCCCGACAACTGACAATGCTGGATTGACCTTTTCCATCAATCTACATGTCTGGAGTCTTCCATGCAGTTCTACCACCATTTGCATGGTGTGTAGGTGGCTGAATTGTTGATGTCCCATCTGTGTCATTTATTGTGGCTACATCATTATGAAATTTCTCAGCACTCTTTCACATCCTTCTCTTTCTCTACATCTTCTTTATTTATTATCAGTTCCAATGGCCATGTCTTTTTTTTCCTGGTTGTTTGTGGATCCCTAATACTGTTTTCTCTTATCACTCACCTTTGGCAGAGCTGCTGTTGCTTGCTTTTGACATCAGGCCATCCTTGGAACCGTTTCACAAGTTGTCTTGGACTTTCTTTTGTCTCCGGCCAGCTCGTGCTCCTCCTGTGCTGTCTTGGTCTCTATGGTTTGGGATATTTTTCTTGAGGCATTGCTTTTGTTAGCTCTTGCCTCCAATTGTTGGGTCGGGGAGCGTTATGCTTTCCTCCAGTTACATGGGTCCTGTTCTTCGTTTTGCAGTCTTCTGCTTTTCTGGTGCAGAATGAGTCAGCTGGTTTCCAGAGGGGTCCTTTGATGAGTGATGATTGGTTTGTCTGACCAGGAGGCATCTTTTGTTGTGTCCAATGGCCGTGGTTCGCCACTACCTGCGTGCCATTTGATCTGCCTTGGTGGATGCCCTCTTGGTTGATCTGGTTTCCTTGGTCCACTGTTTTGAGGCATGAGTGTCTCAGGTTGTCTGTAGTATCATTAAAGTCTGCTAACCTGCATTCTACCCTCAGACCCACATTGTTTGCAAGCTTGCAACTTTGGCCTCTGTTTTCACCTGGGAGTTGTTGGTTGATTTTCGGGCCTGAGGGTTTGGTAGTCTTTCTGAGTTTTTGTGACTTTCCTGGTGTGTGTGATCATAACAGTTCCTAGCTTTGCTTTTCTGTGTGGGGGCCAGGTTCTGGCTCTGGTCCCCAGTAGGCAAAACAGGATTTCTATGACTGATGTGACTCAGTAGTGGTGAGATAACTTCAATGAGCCACCAGGGCTCTACCAGAAAAAGGCATTTTATTACATTCAACATTGGTTTGTAGTCAATTTCATATACCAGTAGAGTATGAGGATCATGGATTGAAGAGATTTGAGGGAGATTTGATAATGAAATCTATATTCAGACCATATATAATGGGGTAAAAATGATGAACTTGGAATTATTTTTCAAACTTTGTGAAGATCATGTGATTTGAAATTAGTATTAGAAGGATATTATGAGATACTAGAAGATGTTCCTGTGTTATTTTAGGTTGCTGCTCCATGCAAGGCCAGTTTGGAGAGTTTATTGAGTATTCACAATCTTCAATAAACATTGTCTATGTACTCACCTAGTTGTGCTTGCGGGGGTTGAGCTCTGGCTCTTTGGTCTCGCCTCTCAACCATCAATCAACTGATATACAGATTCCTGAGCCTACTGGGCTCTATCATATCTACATTTGTGTGTGTGTTTGTGCACACATGCTTATCACATTTGAATAAGAAAAGCCAGAGAGCTTATTATGTTCTGCTTTGGGTGTTTGCTGGCGTGTGACAGTGCTGGTTCTGTCTGATGCTACAGTGTGTAGTGTAGAAGATATTTATGATTATGGTATCTAGTAAAGATCTTTAGCTATCTTTTCTTAAATTGATCTCCTGTTTCTTCTGAATTGATGCCTACCCACCCACATGATGGGTATTGGGTGCATAATAAATGAAGTAAACTAAATTGGTGTGTGGTTTAGTTCTCATATCTTCAAACCATGTTATTGTGACTCATCATCTGCATACAAAGTAAACTAAACTTTCCTTAAAATCTAATTAGATGCGGATGATGAATCACAGTAACATGGCTGAAGAAATTTTGACGAAACCACACACTAGAAGATGAAAAGACGACAACGTTTTTGTCCGTCCTGGGCCATTATCACAATTGACTTGATAGTGGCCCAGGACGGACCGAAACGTCGTCGTCTCTTCATCTTCTGGTGTGTGGGTTGGTTAACATCTAATTAGATTATGTAATCTAACATAGATTTATGATATGCCACTATCCGGTAATTCTCTGCATTACGTGTCATTATGGTGCATGCTGCCATAAGATGAGAGTTGGTATTTTCTTTTGCATGGTGGATGGTTTGTTTGGTGTTTAAACACCTTATGGTACTCACCTAGGGTTAATGCATTCATGTTTTACCTCTTGATGTCAGTTATGTGTATTTATACTATTCTAAAAGCATACATGATGAAAAGAAAGAAAGAAAGAAAGCATACATGATGAAAAGATGATTTTTGGTGCTTAGGGCTGAATGGATTGAAAGCAAGTAATTTTCTTATTTTATACATTCAAATAATTTCCAGCTGAGTGTACATTATACCTGAGACACTAGGCTAATGTACAGTAGTTTAGTCAAATAATGTATCAATAAATTTTTTGTTTATTTTTGTGTATAAAATGCAATAAATTATACATATCCGTGAACGATGTTCGTTTTCTAAAATGTAGAGAACTGTGGTTTTTATATTTTAGAGTTGATACAACAATTTCATATTGTATTATTCTGGTGAATCTGCCATCTTAGACAGGACTTATCTTGTCTCTCTTCTCTCCTATTGACTTTCAGAATGATATCTAGGAACTTGTGAATATTCAAATAATAATATATATATATATATATATATATATATATATATATATATATATATATATATATATATATATATATATATATATATATATATATATATATTTATATTTGTAGTACTATACTATATAGCCATTCTCACCCAGCATTTTCTTTTATTTTATTATTAATTAACACAGTGGAGTACTTTTTGAAAAAGCTGCACAATGATGGTTTTGCACTTAGAAGACACTTGTGCATTACTTACCTTCACCGCCAGATCAAATTTTGAAAAATAGCACGAAATGTATTTTGTAAATGTATTCTCACTAGTTAGCCTCCATAGTTTTGAAAGTATTGTTGTTATTTTTGTAAGTTGATACCCCAAAATACATGCTATTGCTCATATTTATGAGAGTGATAATTATTATAGTTAGGATTGAAAGTAGATACACACACTCACAAAAAAATATATATGTCGTACCTAGTAGCCAGAACTCACTTCTCAGCCTACTATGCAAGGCTCGATTTGCCTAATAAGCCAAGTTTTCACTAATATATTTTCTCTAATTTTTTTCTTATGAAATGATAGAGCTACCCATTTTATTATGTATGAGGTCAATCTTTTTTTATTGTAGTTAAAATTAACGTATATATATGACCGAACTTAACCAACCCTACCAAACCTAACCTAACCTATCTTTATAGGTTAGGTTGGGTTAGGTAGCTGAAAAAAATAGGTTAGGTTAGGTAGGTTAGGTAGTCGAAAAACAATTAATTCATGAAAACTTGGCTTATTAGGCAAATCGAGCCTTGCATATTAGGCTGAGAAGTGCGTTCTGGCTACTAGGTACGACATATATATATATATATATATATATATATATATATATATATATATATATATATATATATATATATATATATATATATATATATATATATATATATATATATATATATATATATATATATATATATATATATATATATATATATATATATATATATATATATATATATATATATATATATATATATGTCGTACCTAGTAGCCAGAACTCACTTCTGAGCCTACTATGCAAGGCCCGATTTGCCTAATAAGCCAAGTTTTCATGAATTAATTGCTTTTCGACTACCTAACCTACCTAACCTAACCTAACCTAACTTTTTCGGCTACCTAACCAAACCTAACCTATAAAGATAGGTTAGGTTAGGTTAGGTAGGGTTGGTTAGGTTCGGTCATATATCTACGTTAATTTTAACTCCAATAAAAAAAAATTGACCTCTTACATAATGATATGGGTAGCTTTATCATTTCATAAGAAAAAATTAGAGAAAATATATTAATTCAGGAAAACTTGGCTTATTAGGCAAATCTTGCCTTGCATTGTAGGCTGAAAAGTGAGTTCTGGCTACTAGGTACGACATATATATATATATATATATATATATATATATATATATATATATATATATATATATATATATATATATATATATATATATATATATATATATATATATATATATATATATATATATATATATATATATATATATATATATACTCTATACTCTATATTCTCTATTTTTCACATGTGGTTCTTCTGCTTACTTGGATAAGTGTTTTTGTGATCATTGTTGCATATAGTATGTGTGTGTATGTATATATATATATATATATATATATATATATTCCAGTTAAAAATGTGCTTTTGTAAATATTTCTAAGTTATTTTTATCTTGATAGTAATAAATCCAGATGTTGAATTTTGCATAAATATTTCTATACTGGTGATGTATATAAATTGAACGACATATCCAAGTACAAAACAGATTTTACAAGATGTATGTTGTGATTTGTATAAAAGTTGTCTGTCGCCTTCAATAGTTCTCTATTTTTATTATCCTGTTATTTTCAGTGTGTGTGTGTGTGTGATGGAGTCACATAAACCCAACACCATGCCATAAAGCTGATACTAATAAAACAGGCAGAATGCCATGTAACCAGTCAGCCCAGTGAGAACCTTTGTTTGTACAGCAAGAAGTGTGCATGTTTGATGTTGGGCTTGAGGTCTGTTGCCATTTGAAGGGTTATTAAGGCCTGTCATCCCCTGGAGGGTTATTAAGGCCTGTTAACCCCTGGAGGGTTATTAAGACCTGTCAACCCCTGGAGGGTTATTAAGGCTTGTCAATCCCTGGAGGGTTATTAAGGCCTGTCAACCCCTGGAGACTTATTAAGGCCTATCAACCCCTGGAGGGTTATTAAGGCCTGTTAACCCCTGGAGGGTTATTAAGGCCTGTCAACCCCTGGAGGGTTATTAAAGCCTGTTAACCCCTGGAGCATTATTAAGGCCTGTCAACCAATGGAGGGTTATTAAGGCCTGTCAACCCCTGGAGGGTTATTAAGGCCTGTCAACCCCTGGAGGGTTATTAAGGCCTGTCAACCACTGGAGGGTTATTAAGGCCTGTCAACCCCTGGAGGGTTATTAAGGCCTGTCAACCCCTGGAGGGTTATTAAGGCCTGTCAACCTCTGGAGGGTTATTAAGCATGGCATGCTTATCAATGTTTTCACACAGGCAGCCTTCGACACAAATGCCTCGTCCATCCTTGACTTATACTGCTCTCATTCATGAAAACTTTAACCAAATTGATGACCAGACCACACACCAGGAGATGAGGAGACGACATTTCGGTCCGTCCTGGACCATTATCAAGTCAATTATCTCTTTAACCAACTTATCTTTATTAAATTAAAATGAAAGAAATTTGATTCCCCCAGTTTCCCTGACTAAATCTATTATGGAATCCTTACCTGATAGTTTCTCCTATTTTTTCCGTAGGGCTATTGATGTGTTCTACTTAAAAATATATATATATAAATTGTATATATTGATTGTGGGCGTCTGCTTGTCTTTTCAAGATCTGCAAGTATCGGTAAAATGTATTCCAACTGGTTGCTTCCGTTCGCCCCGCTGGCCACTTTATTCCCCGGCCACAGGCAACAGGTAAGAGGAAATAATACCAATTAAATTTCCATTATGAAAAAGAAATGTCAAGCCTTGCAACTTGAACATTGTAAACAGTGCGAATATACTTGTGGGGAATCCAATATCTCTATCGCTGGCAGTAAGTGTGTTAGGGAATTTCTGCTAAGTATGTGGTATACGGCTCTAGTGACGGCAGACATGAAAACGTACCTTATAGGCATCGATATAATTTTTTGTACTTATTTATACAAGTTTTTACATTTTAAAGTCATTAGCACGCATAGCGTCTATAATAAGTAAAGAATGGTCTACAGACCTTATTTGCTTTGCTAAACGAACTAGAGGGTTCAGTTCCTGAACCGATTATGTGCCTCTGTAATCCTTTACACCACCGCCCACGGGATGGGTATGGGGTGTATAATAAAGAAAGAAATGAATGAATGAATGACCGTCAAAATACGTTTTCACTTGCAAAACGAACATATATTTTATATTTAACATAACATAATAAGTGTATGAGTACTCATATATTATTATAATATTTTAAATTTAATAAAATTATTAGCGTCCTTCTCTGAGTGAATATGTCTTGTGTACGGGTCAGGCTTTTAAACTGACCCGCAGGATTTACTAGTAATGGTGCTGATGTTCCCAGGGCCGGAGTACTAAATAGGCCAAGTAGGCCATAGGGCCACCACCACAGAGGGCCCACTTTCACCCAGGATCCACCAGCACCAAAGGCCCACCACCATCAGGGGCCCACCATCACCGGGGACCCTCCAATCAATCCAGAAAGGAATAATCGCTTATAGTGATGTTCTTGATCGCGGCCCAGACAGCTTGAGGCTGCTGATGGCTGAGCGCCTTGTGTTGTCGTTGCCAACACGAAGGTGGTTGTTCAGATGGCTAATCCTGAGAACATTGCCCCTCTTTCTCTCCTGTCTCTATTTTGTTTGATGTTAACCCAACTGGAAAGTCAGCAGGTGTACAATACTAACCCGGCTTGATAATTATTTTAATTGGCAGGCTGGTAGAGGGAGCTGTATTTGCTAAACAATGTTTATATTCCATCCATGACTATAGTGGAACGTCTTTTGTAGAGTGTATATGTAATTAGTTGTGTCCAGTCCTCTGGTTGATGAGAGTCAAAGTCTCTGGCGCCCTCTGTTGGCGCTCGTGTAAACAAACTCTTTTTCTTGTTAGTCTGTCTGTCTCTCTCTCTCTCTCTCTCTCTCTCTCTCTCTCTCGTTCGTTTGGTATCTACCTCACTTGTTATATCTCTCACTCGTTGTCTTTCACTTATTACCTCTTACTCGTTATCTCTCACTCGTTATCTCTCACTTGTTATCTCTTACTCGTTGTCTCTCTTTTACTCATTATCTCAGTAAATAAAACACCTTCACCCCAACGTCACGAACAGTGCCTAGTGATGTTTATTAAAAAATATTAATATGGAAATGAGCTTGGAAATGTTATAAGCAAACTTGATTCTAACTGGTTTATCTTCTAATGTCTTCCCTCTTCCTCCCTTTCTCCTCTACGTCCCTCTCTTCATTCATCTTCTTTTTCTGTCTTCCCGTATATCTTCTCTGCCCCTTATAGGGAGAGCCATTGACAAGTCATCGGCTTTCTGTCCCTGTGAATGGGGACCATTGGGAAGCCGCCGATTCCTGCCCCCATGAAGGGGGATCAATAACAAACCGTTGGCGTTCTGTCCCCGTCGAGGCCACTAGAGGTGGTGGGCCCCAGGTAAATTCAGGTAAAATTTGAGAGAACTTTTCCTCCCGCAACACCTAGTTTGCTATGCAGGCGAGGAGTCACAATAACGTGGCTAAAGTATGTTGACCAGACCACACTAGAAGGTGAAGGGACGACGACGTTTCGGTCCGTCCTGGATCATTCTCAAGTCGATTGTGAATGACAATCGACTTGAGAATGGTCCAGGACGGACCGAAACGTCGTCGTCCCTTCACCTTCTAGTGTGTGGTCTGGTCAACAACCTATTTTGCTATATCCGCCTCCTGCCCGGCACAAACATCAATAACACGACCGTAGGTATGTAATTATACTTCCATATAAAGTATACTCCCGCGGTGAACCATTTCCTATCTTGCTGGTTCTTAATAATCCTCCCACGGCTAATAGGCCTTAACAACCCTCTTAAGGACGATAAAAAAGTAATAAAAAGAAGTCTTAGCTATAAAAACAAACGGTATATTTGTTGCAGAGGACGACTGTCATTGCATGAAGTTGTTGTTGAGAAAACATATTTGGGGTAACTGTCAGTTGGTTAAAAGAAGCGGAATAAAGTAATCAAATATGAGGGAAGGTATAGAGGAGCAAGGGAAGGAGAGAAAGGCAGGAGAAGTCGAAGGAAGGGGAAGTGCGCGGGAGGGGATGTGCAGTAGCCAAAGGCTGATGGGTATATAATGGCGTGACGGGCTTGGTGGTCCACCATCAGCCTTCTTCCGTCGTCACAGTCAACACCTCACCACCTCCTCGAGCAAGTAGGTGCTGGGCAGGACCTGGCTAGCGGAACTGGGATAGTTACAACGATAGGTGTTCCCATCTTCTAGGTGTATATACACTGAGTTTACTTTCGTCTTGAGCTCTGTTCAGGACTAAAATATACTTGTTGGTTCGTCAGTTAGCAATTCTGGTGGCCATATAACCCTCCAAAGGTTGATAGCCATTAAGCCCAAACCTGACAAGCTGCCATAGTGCCGCTGTAAATATCAGAGGCCATCTTCTCTTCGTTCAACGACACCAAGCAGGTTATAATTCAACTGGTTGATTAAATATTTCAAATAGTGTCGTTAGCTAATTACTTAACAGACGTTGCGTCTTTTTATTTCACTTGGTATTGAAATCAGTTCCTTCAATACGGAAACCAATTTGGTTCTCATTAATAATGTTAGTTTCAACGTGTTTTGGTATAAGATAATTAAGTCCTTTGTGTCAGAGGACAATTCTTGTCCCCTGTAGCCTTCAAGAACATGATTTTTGTTTCATTTTAATTTTGAGACCTCAAATTTACAATATTTCTTGGTTAACTTTTTGCTAAAGGCTTTACACTCTACTTATTTTTTTTGTCACTTCTTAAAATTCCAAATATTTTCTAATAGGCGTTTATATAGTCTAGATATGAACCTTGCCAGTTATCAAGGTCTTCAGCAGCAAACTGCAAGTGTAATTATTATTGAACGAAGTTCAAGAGTGTTGGTGAATGTATACAGGGAAGTAGGCTTTTGGTGCACCGGTGAACCCCTTGGAGAGTTACTTGGGTTGGGCTTAAAGCCTATCAACATCTGGAGGGTTATTAAGGCCACCACAATAGTTTACTCACCAACCAGCAAGTAAACTTTAGTGCTGAACATAGTCCAGGATTTAAGTAAACTCGGTGTTATACACACAGAGAAGCGGAGTGAACCACTCATATGTATATCACTTCCTTCCTATTTTATTATTAAACTTATTAAACTACTGTTGATAGTCAATATTAACATTTCATAATTAAACTATATTTTCAATCCAACGAACATTTTATATATCATAATATATATTAATTTATAAATTAACATGTTACAGCTCGATAACTTTCTAACAATAGTTCATTAACATTAGTACAGTTCAATAACTGTAACATTAACATGTTACAGTGCAATGTTCATTAAGATTTGTTACATCAACGCTACTCTTTATTTCAGAGAAACAAAACATTTAACTGACACTCACAAACTTGCATCTTGAATAGGCTTCATAAACCCAAATTAATTTTAGAAACTTGAGTAATGTGGACTACATGGGGTCCAGTAGCATAATAGACTACGTCCTTAACTCACAACTGAGGGATCCAGGGTTCAATTCCCGGGTATACAGTAACATTTGGGCACGTTTCATTTCATACGATGCCTCTGTTCACCAAGCCGTAATATAGGTACCCGGAAGTTATGCAACTGTTGCAGGATTGCAATATGGGGGGAAAGTCTATATTTGTCTAGGGGGAGACATTGATAGGCTTCAGTATAGTATTCTTATCAAAATCCCATTTTGTATTTTGGAATATAACTTACCAAACTATACTCTTCGGTAAGATACATTTAGATGAAGGGGGGTAGAAATAGCCTAAGCTACTCTATCCCTTTGAGATGTATTTCTTTCTTGTCTCAATAAACATACTTGAACTTGAACATTTAGATGTTTGTTTAAACTATAATGATTACTGCTAATTTACAGTAATTCAAGTAGTTATTTGAGTGCCATTAATATGTCCACTCAGTCTTGAAGTATTATTATATGTATATTGGCAGGATGCGTAACGCCGTGGTGGTTCTGGTGCTGGTGGCAATGGTCGCCGTCCTAGCCCGGGCCCAGGAGCTGAAGTATCCTGAGCGTGAGGTGAGTCTTGCAGGTGTGTTGGGTGGTGAGAGAGGTCCTGCAGGTGTGTTGGGTTGTACTAATGTGTGTTAAGGCTCAACGTGTGTATTTGAGCATGGATGTGTATTCGAGTACTGGAATAACAGGTGCTGGAATGGTTGTATACTTGAGTACTGGGTGCAATGTACGTAAATTTGAGTACCGGGTGTGGCAGATGTTGCAATGGATGTATGAGCGATTACTGGGTGTAGCACGTTTTACACTGGATGTATTTTTGAGAACTGGGTGTATGTTTTATAATAGGTGTATACTCTAATACGGGTGTAGCAGGTTCTGCAATGGATGTATACTAGAGTGCTGTTCGCAGCAGGTTCTATAGTGTATGTATACTAGAGCACTGGGTGTAGCAGGTGAAGATGTATACTCGAGCACTGGGTGTAGCAGGTGAAGATGTATACTCGAGCACTGGGTGTAGCAGGTGAAGATGTATACTCGAGCACTGGGTGTAGCAGGTGGTAATTTCCCATTGCAGGTGGTGGCCGAACTGGCAGCCCAGATCCTACGGGTGGCCCAGGGCCCCTGGGGCACCATGGCCGGAGGACCACACAAGCGCAACTCTGAACTCATCAACTCCATCCTGGGGCTCCCGAAGGTGATGAACGAAGCCGGCAGGAGATAAGTGGCCTCCCGCATCCCTCTGCTAACTTAAGGTGAGTTATGAGGCGAGGCTTCGAAAGGCGCTTCCCAGGTCGACGGTGTTGTGTGTGGGTTGGGTAAGGGCCTCTGATAACACAGACACACTCGTCAATATATGGCAAAGAGCCTCACATACATAGAAAGTAGACCATTGTCAGTACTGTATTGTCTTTGTTATTAATTCTTCCCTTCGAGAGTGTAAGCAGTGTGATGTCACAACACTACATGTTCAACCCTCAGGACGAGACCTCAGTCTTGTTCAACACACATTATGAACTCTCTCTGTCAGGACGAGACCTCAGTCTTGTTCAGCCCACATTATGAACTCTCTGTCAGGACGAGACCTCAGTCTTGTTCAGCCCACATTATGAACTCTCTGTCAGGACGAGACCTCAGTCTTGTTCAACACACATTATGAACTCTCTCTGTCAGGACGAGACCTCAGTCTTGTTCAACACACATTATGAACTCTCTCTGTCAGGACGAGACCTCAGTCTTGTTCAGCCCACATTATGAACTCTCTGTCAGGACGAGACCTCAGTCTTGTTCAACCCACATTATGAACTCTCTCTGTCAGGACGAGACCTCAGTCTTGTTCAACCCACATTATGAACACTCTCTGTCAGGACGAGACCTCAGTCTTGTTCAACCCACATTATGAACTCTCTCTCTCACACAGGACGAGACCAGCAGGCGTGTGACCGGAGCCTCTCACCAGCTCACACAAAGGGCGGACTGTCACCTCCTCTCATGACTCACAGCACCAAGAATCTCACCCACTGCTGTCCCTCACCTCTGTAACATGTGTGCTTATAGTAAAAACCTATAGAATATAAATCCTTTGTTTAATTAACAAAATAACAATGAGGAAATATTGACGCATTACAATGAACTTGAACACATGTCCTTAGGCACTTCAGTCACACGCAGTTTCAATCTAACTGCACGGCCATAATATTTTCTTCAGAGATACATGTGTCTGTGATATTCTGCAAAATCCCAATATATTACTAGATGAATTAGTGAGAATACAAAAACCGAAACAATCTGGTAAAAGAAGTCAAAGTTAGGATGATTAAATAAGACTAAAATATCTGAAAAGACAATCTGGATAAAAGTCAACCAATAAGAATAATTATCGGGTGTAAACTTGACTGCTGAGCTATAGAGAAAATAAGTCATTACCAGAACGAAGTAAGGGTCCAGAATGGCCCTTACCTTCTCTCTTCTTTCACGTCATGGTTTGGTTGGTTCGGATATCTATGTTTAAGGACGTTACTGTGGCCTATTTGCAACATAATTTCAAACAGTAAGTTATCAGATCAAGGTATCAAGTCCAGAAGGTATGATTTGTGTCAGTATTCCGTGACACAGATCGCATCTGTCGTGGAATGGTCACACCTTTCCAGATATTCTAGCCAATACCAGAACAAAAATGGCTGTGTAGTAAACATCGCACAACAACATAAATGCTTATACACGACTAAAAACATTTGGAGCTGGGCACACTCCTTCAGACATAATTAATTACACCAGAAAATCAATGTTTACCTGCTCAACCTGTAGCCTAGCAAAACCCAGATCTACTTAACTGAAGTGAGCAGCTAGCCAGTCTTGACGCCTCCACACAACCCACTACATAAGTGAATAGTGTGCTGGCCTGCTCTGGTAGTAAGCTCGTGTCTACCGACAATACTTAGCAGTAATAAGACTTGTGATTCACACTACACAACTAGCCAAAACACCTCCAAAATCAACTATAAGTATTTAACAACTAAATGAATCGGACATAAATACCTCTAGATTGCCCGCCTCTAACACACGCATGTACGAACATGTATACCTCTCGCATACTTTCTCAACAATAAATCTATAAACACTCCCAAGCAATTTATATATATAAATAAATTAAATAAAGCTTGAAGAGTATGCAACTTAATGACTATACATCATGTGACAGGTACAGCATCAACTTAATGCTACTTTTACCGTACTTTGGACTTCTCAGTTTAATCAAAAATTATTTTACTTATTAATGTACAATAAAAATATGGGACAATCCAAACCCTGACTATGCAATATGCTTTCATACAGTTATGGATTAGTGTCTTCTTGCACTAGTTCATAATGCTGGGAATTAATCTAGACAATTTCTTCAGAAAGTCAGATGTAACACAAACAAGGAGCAACTGTTTCAAGCTCAACAAGCCACAACGTAGGACTGAGAACAAGTGCTTTTTCACCTACAGGGTTATCAACCCGTGGAACCGCCTACCCGCTGAAGCAGTAAATGCTAAATCTTTTACATTTTTAAAAATCCAACTGGAAAAGATTATCAGGGCAAATCTTTTCCAGATGGATTTTAACATTTTGTCTGCTTCCACCCTGTTGAATACACTTGTATTCAGTGTGAATTTGGGCACCAAGGCGGAGGGTCACTGCTACACGAAGGGATTCTGGATCTAGACGCTTGCCTGTTGCCGACATGGGTACTGCCAGAAGGAAGTCTCCTGCATGGGGGGGGCATGCATTGCTCTGAGGCGGACTTTCTCCTTATCTGATGTTGCAGCGCTGAGCATGACATCAGCTATTTTTTCACTAGCTTGATTGTTTGTGTTTTTTAGTTGGATCTATTATGGGTGCTGGGCCTGCAAGAGTATCCAACGGATTTGAACATTCGGTGGAAGCAGGATTGTGTATTCCTGCTTGTGACGGACCTCGGCGCCATCTATGATCCAGGTTCCGAGACTTAACAGTTGATCCTCCAATTAATATCAGTTTCCCATCTTCTAGTCTGCTGTTCTGGGAGTTGATAAGGTACCGGTGACTGGTGACAGACACGGCAGTGAAGCACACAGGTCGACCTTGTGACGCCTCTGTGGAAGCGTACGAGCCAGCGAGCTAGTGGAGTGCTGGAAGACTTCACTGTTTGAGGGAACTAGCGAGTGGGTTAGTGGGGCGCTTGAAGATGTCACCATAACTGCAGCTAGCGTGAGAGTTAGTGTTGCGTCAGAGGGATGGAAATAGTAGTAGTTGTAGATAATAGTTTTTTAAGTGCAATTTTATTTCTTAAACATTACACTAGACTTCCACTAAGGCAAGGGATCTGACCTTGAGAAGGATCGTAGAGTTTAAAAGAACCAGGTTACAGAACGGTTCGTAACACTGCTGAATCACTCAGGGGTTCTGGTAGCATATCTCTTACGAGGTCGTACGATGCATGGGAGGAGGAAAGGAAGCTGGTAGAGCAATCTGAGAGGCTGTGCGGACACCAAGGCCAGAGTCTTACAGGGAGGGTTGTTTGCTCCCATTGAGAGTCGTCCAACGGAAGGTTCAGGACTTTCTCCAGTATGGACCTCAGAACGGTTTCACATTTAATTAAGGGCTGTTGTAGGATGGAGAACACCTCAGAAAGTAAGTCAACGTAGGGAGAGATAGGCATCTTGTGAGGAGGAAGAGAGAATCGTGGGCATCAATCCTGTCCAGCATTCTCCTTAGGTAAGTGATTTTTGCATCCAGGACCTCTTCGATTACTTGCGGGTCTATGGGGGGGGGCCATGAGGGTGCAGTCGGGTGGCTCGACAACGAGAATGTCAGGAAGAACATTTTTTATTTGACCAGTAATGTTTGGGTTGCGGGAGACTATTTCGCATTTGGATGCATTGAGAATGAGACCCAAGGCTGCTCCTGTATTTTCATTATATCCTCCAAAATAGAGGATATATGTATCCAAAATGGAGCCTTATATCCTCTGGGCTCCGGCGAGAGTGCCATCATCCAGGTACCAGAAGTTTAGCTCGCTTGTCAGACTATCAGTGACCTCTTTGACAGCTAAGCAGAATAGCTAAGGAATCGCCTTGTTGGACTCCTTCACAAGAGCCTATTTCATGCTTTCCCCCCCCCCCATAAAAAAAAAGCTTAGTCCCCACTCTAAGAGGATTGGATGAATGGGTAAAGGGGACGGAAATGATTGTGCACAGCCCTGATGACAGCGTCTCTTGACTTGATTGAAGACATTTTGAAGGTCAAGCTTTACTAGTACCTTTTGGTCAGAGAGATCAGCAACGTAAGCCCGTGCTGCATGTTCTGCTGCTTCACAGCCTAGGGGGATCCCAAACCCGAGCTGATGAGGTTTCAGCAAGGTGGCTGTTTCCTGGCTGATAGATCTCACTGCAGCCTTAATTAGCTACGAGGCGTCGGAGGGTGTTGCCAACGGCAATGGGCCTGATTCCCCTATCCTTCTTCTGTGCTCTATCTTTAGAGCACAGTGCTGCTCCATAAAAGAAAGACCTGATGTCCTCAAGGACGCCGCCAGCCAAACATATATTGGAGAATCTGGTAAGTTCCACTAGAAGGTCCTTTTGCAACATCTCCAAGCGCCGGGTTCAGCATTGGTTTAATGTGCTGGGGTCTTAGGCCTGTAAAGCCCCCTGCTGAACCTGTTGCGAAAGACATGGCTGCTTTGTACACCTCAGATTCTTGAACAGTCAAGGGTTCTGTGCCAATATTATTTTCCTGGGGATCCCTGCTACTGTCTGGAGCTCTGTGGGTGTTTGTCTTGTAGAACCTGTGCTGTCGTGGCGTTCCTCGGGGCAATAGTGTCATCGCTGGTTATGATTCTGATGGCACCTGTGGTATTGGTAGGGGGGAGGCGGACCAGGTTGTATTCTCTGGAGAATTAATTGAGAGCCCTATTTACTGAGGTTGTTAATGACAACCTCTCTCCTTGGCGGTAATGCTAGGCATGCATTCCCAAATGGTAGGAGATTGTGCCATGCCCCCCATGGTTCTAGGAGTATTGTTGACCTTAGTCAGCATACTAGTTAGCTAGGTTGCTGCTTGGTGACGGGCAGCCTCGGGGACGTCGCTTTGACTGCTTCACGCAAATTTTCTGCTGAAATGAAATTGAGAGGTATTGTTCCTCGTTCCTGCAGCAGATTGTCCATTGTCACTGCCCCGGGGCGGGCACCTAGATCCTAGGCAACCACCTGAATAGACAAAATGTTGGACAGTTCCATCAGAACTAGCCTATTTTTTTCAATATAAGCCTGGCCTGTGCAGGCTGGCTGGGGCTTCAAACACTAGTCCTCAACTGCTGGTTTAATATGCCAATCCTCACACGATCGCCCTGAGCCCTAAACTCCTGGCCACAAGTTTCTGCTAAACTAAGTATAGGCCGGTCCTCCACAACCACCTCACTGCTGCATAAATACCACGGTTACTCTGAAGAACCGGTTCTCACATAACCGGTCGCGGCTTTAACTTCTGTCCCTAACTGCTGATGTATATGTACAAGAGCGTACTGTCTCTCAATATAAGGCCAGGCTCTTGTTGCCCGGGACTGCTGCACTGGTCCACTAGCTTCATAAAAGTTCACTTTAAAGATGCCACAGGGGCCCATCTCTACCTGTAGAGGGGTGGCCAAACCGCGGCTCTTTGACCACATCCATTTATTTTAAATTTGAATACAAAATTTGTAACAATGTGAATTTTGTTTGTACTGCCTACCACCTGATGAAGCACACGCGCACTACACTGAGAATGTTCTCGCCCATCTCTGGGATCCATCGCACTGTTAAAGCCGCAAAACACATTCATATTTATCCTACCTACTGTCATTGGACTAAAATATTCCGGCACGAACGAATAAACAGCAGATCAATGAGGAAGAGGACCACCTCTCGTGCAGGAGTCCCAGACTGGGGTCTACCTGGACTCCTGACAATAATTAGTGACTCCGAGCTGCCTAATATCTGGTTTATATTTTGTTGCGGCGATTAGTTACGGATCATTAGGCTGTGTTACATGTCAATGTTCTACTAAAAGCTAATTATAAA